TAAATTTCCACTAGCTGCATAAACGCCTCTGGAAACACGCGTCATCTTAAAAAACATAACAACATTTTCTTCAATTTTATTTTCTATATGTGTTGAAAGAAGTCTATAATCCCAATCCTGTAAAATAGGTATCACTTTCTTAGTTTTTAAACGTAATACAAAAATCATTCGATTTTAAAATTGAAAATATGCAAATTTGAAGTAGAACAAAATTCTTTCTATCTAAAAAATTTTATATGAAATTTGGGGCGCAAGCATTTTTGGTTGGAAAATCTAATATTTTGAAAATAAACTAATTAAAAAAACACTATCTAACACTTCTAACAAATAACCGTAACTTGGCCCGTAGCAAACATGCAGTAGCTAAAGCCTGTTTTCTTAGAAAAGTTAAATGCTTCTTTATGACGAGAAATTTAACAATTTTAATGTAAAACAAATCTTGTGGACTTATTTTTAAAAATAGAAAAACTCTTTGGAATTTTTTTTTTATTTAAATTAATTTTATTTGAATTAAAAAAATTCAAGTTATTTTGGAACTTTAGTAAAAAACTAAAAATATTACAAATTTTATTTTTCCCTATATTGCTGGAACTTGATACTGCATAATTTTTATATTTTCAATTTTGTTATTTATCAAAAAGTAAAAATATTTAAAGGTGAGCACTATTTAAGTTATCTTTATATTTTTTAATTTTTTACGAAGAATTCACACCCTATTCTTCCAAAAACCGTCAGTAATATCAGCAACAGTGGTAAACAGTTGAAGTACGGTTATGAAAATTTTTCCAAAAATAAAAGTTTTCATTATAAATTAATTCAATTTTTAAGCGCTCTATTTTTGTTAGCTTTTGTTGTGAATTGAAAAAAAATTGATTTTAATTTTTAATAGGCAACATTATTGAAAAGCACACGATGTGTTAAAGAACTTTTTCAAAAACACGCAAATGAAATAACAAGCGTTTTGTAGTCTGTCGTATCTAGCATCACTACAACGCAAAAAAATTCATTAAACTTATTTTTACTTCACATTCAAATAAAAATTTTTTAGTTAAAAATTTTTTTTCTGCACTTTATTTTTCACCAACTTTTGTCTTTCAAAACTCTTAAGCTTGCAAATTAAAACTAAACTACGAGTCTTCGTATTATGAACTGTGTAACTGCAATTTAATAAATCATTTTGTTAAATTTTAAATAGTTATAATTTCATAAAGGTTAATTTTTTTTTGTCATGCAATTGAAATGTAAAAAGTTGCAGTTTTAGTTAATCAATTACGATATACTTTTGATAATATTCTGTGTTGTAAATTACAATAGAATTTAGAATATGTCGGAATTTTTTAACATGAATAATGTTAAGACTACTTTTGAAAACTCAAATTTTAGATACGGTTTAAAATATTTTCCATTTTTAGTACTTTTCCAAAAATTTTTTAGAAAAAAAGTACTTATTAGTTTCATTCTGTCTGTCCGTCCTTTTTTCCAAATTTTTGATCTCGCTTTTCTTCTAGACCCCAGCTTGTAGGAGCCTGAAATTTCAGCAGCTTTTAGAAACTAATAAATACTTTATTTCGTTAGAAGAAAATTTTTTTCCATCTCCACCCCCTCTCAAGTTATCGCCTCTTGAAATTTGTAAAATTTGAATTTTTGACACCTTATATTTCCGAAACCGCAAGCTTTTTCAAATTTCTATAAACGCAAAAAGCTAACGGTAAATTCCATGACATTAAAAAACATAATTATTTTTCTTAACTCACGCACTTAACCCTTAAAAGCGGTCATTATGTTAACCCCTCTATATACTAATTTTTGCTTTATTTCAAAGACTATGCATATATGCGTCATCCTAAGTATATGCAATCCTAAAAATAGTTTTGTTTATGAATGAAAATAATTTTAATAGTGTGGTAGGTATACACAGACTGTATTTAAAACTAGTATTTTCACTTGTTTAAGGGAAAAGTGCTACAATACAAACCATTGGTTTGACCCAACTTTATTTATTGTGTATACAATAAGGTAGGTTATGTGATGGCAAAAAAATTTGGATGTCGAGTTTTCGGTGTAAACGTTCGGTCGAGTTTCGGGTAAGCAAACTATTTTCAGAGAGGTGTCTGTCTGTGTGTGCACGCGTGTATCCTAAATTCGGCGGAACTGATTTTGATGAAATTTAATATTTAAATTGTAGGTGTTAAAGCAATTAATCTATAGAGTTTTTGGAAAGATCAGCGATCGGAAGTCGATCTGGGGGCCGATTTTAGATTTTTTACCCGATCTATGGAACGAATTGATGGAATTTCTTGAAATTTGACAAAGGGCCAAATTTACATTTTTTTAGATATGTTAATTATAAGCTTATTAGTGTCCTTAAAATTGTAAAGAAGCGTTTAAAACGCGTTTTCTCTAGATCATGAAAACGCGTTTTATTTAATTTTACTAATCTATTGGCATATTGGCACACAATTCGGAGCTGTGTTTCCACAGATTTAGGCATTTTGAATGTGCGAGTAAGTTGTATGATTCTGAGGCTGCTAAGAAATTCAGCGTACTAGATAATATACGAAAACTTTATTTTTAAGGAGTAAATTAAGGAATAACTAGTTTAATTTAGCTTCATAAGAAAAAAATTTCTCAAAGGACTGTTTCAGTCATTTGTTATTAGTGTGCCCAAAGAATTTCATATATAAAAAAGATAAGCTAAAAAATTTAAAGATAATAAAAAGATAAGCTAAAGTTAAATTGAATATAATAGAGTTGATCTTCTGGGAAAAACCTTGAGCATATTACAAAATATGCACCTACTAAATTCTGAGGCACCAAATCTGATCTCATATAAACATTTTGGGTTCGTAAGCTTGATTAAAATATTGTACAGATATACAGGAAAAGAGCAGTCTTTAAAATCTATTGGTAATTTTACACTAAGCCACTATTTTTAATAAGACAGAATAACAGCAAAATAAGTTATATAAAATGTAAGAAAATCGGTAAAAATGTAAAAGAGAAAATGAGTCAAAAATAGAAATTTTAAAAATCTAACACTGATTATAAAAAAATGTAACATTTGACAAATTGCAATATATATAAATTAGATTAATAAAAAAATTCGATTAATAAATTAGTCTATCAACTTTAGTACAGCACAAAGCAAAAAAATTATGTAGCCAGAACATAACCGACCGCAATGTGTATTGTTTATTTTAGCGAAAGTTAAAATAATTTCGGTTCAGCCGAATTTCCGATACACGCGTGCACACATAAACAGATATACAGACCGGCACCTCCCTAAAAATAGTGTATTTATGCTTCCATTTTATAAAGAAGTGTGTTCTAACCAAAAAATCGATATGGAAAATTTGTTGTCATCACATAACCTTCCTTAATCTATCTGATAGAATAATAACGGCTCGATTACACTCCAGAATAAAAAAATTACAATAGTACAATGTTACGTTCCCACCGAAACCGCAGACGATGAAGCGAAAGATGCATTCTACTACCAATTGACCCAGGTCTTGGGCAATATTCCCAGAACAGACATTGTTATACTGATGGGAGATCTAAATGCCAAGGAAGGAATAAGAAACGAAAATAGTCCTAGAAATGTGGTGGGTCCATTTGGCATAGGCGACAATAATGACAATGGTGGCCATCTAATAGAGTTATGCACAAAATATAACATGGCAATAGGTGGTACCCTCTTCCCGCACAAGAATATACATAAATACACATGGGAGTCGTCGAATGGACAAACAAGGAACCAAATCGACCACATTTGTGTTAGCAATAAATGCAGACATTCACTACTTGATGTCAGGAATATACATAAAATTCAGGATAGGCTAACAGAAGAAATTAACATAGATGGTATACAAGATGTACTCCGACAAGCAGGTGAAGAAGTATTAGGAACCATAGATATAGAAAGAAGAGAATGGATATCTGATTAAACGTGGACTTAAAATATTACAAAGAAGAAAGATAAAAGAAAAATTGCTAACTCATCAATCGGAAAGCCTAAAGCAAGAATATAAAGAAAAATCAAAAGATGTCAAGAAATCGGCCAGAAGAGAAAAATGAAAGTTCCACAACCAAATAGCAAAAGATGCCAAAACAGCGGCGCAACAAAACAACATGCGTAGCCTGTATAAAAATATTCACAAACTCTCAAATAAGAACATAAAAAGGAGTCAACCGATTAAGGACACTAATGGTAACTTAATAACATCCACGCAAGATCAAATGCAGAGATGGAGGGAACACTTTGATAGTATCAGCAACCGTAACAACAGCAACCATATTGAACAACAATTGGAGAACGAAGATGGCCTCAGCAGAATCAGAACCCACCAACATATAATAGAGTCAAGTCGGTTATAGATAGACTAAAGAACAATAAGTCCTGATGGCGTGGCAGCGGAGCTGTTAAAAAGTAACAGTAATACAATGGCCGAAATATTGAAACCCATCCTGGAGCAAGTATAGAGAAATGAAATGATACCACACTCTTGGAAAAAAGGAATAATAATAAAGCTACCAAAGAAAGGAGATCTATCAGATTGTACGAATTGGCGTGGTATAACTATCCAGAACACAATAAATAAAGTATTGGCCCTCATAATCCTCTCAAGAATAGAGGAAAAAATAGATAGAGATCTCCGGGAAAAGCAAGCTGGCTTCCGTAAACGGCGTGGATGCATAGATCACTCGAATACAATAAGATTAATTGTGGAGCAATCGGTTAAATGGAACTCGACATTGTACATCACATTTGTCGACTTCGAAACGGACTTTGACGCAGTATACAGAGAAGCTATTTGGAAAGCTTTGCAAAAGAAAAGAATACCTGGTAAAATAATCAGATTGATCAAAGCTCTATACATTGATAACGAAACCAAAGTACTCACAACGGAAAACTAAGTGAGTCCATAAATATAAGTACAGGTGTACGACAAGGGTGCCCCCTTTCTCCACTACTGTTCAATGTGGTTCTGGACGAAATAATGAAAGAGGCCACAACATCAGCCAGAGGAATAAGATGGGGATTAATGAGTCGCCTAGAAAGCCTTGAATATACAGACGACTTTGCCCTACTAGCCCAATCACATAATGACATGCGGGCAAAAATCAATCTTCTAAGTGAACGAGCCAAAGTAGTTGGTCTACAAGTTAACGTACAGAAGACAAAATCACTAAGAATTAACACCAGAAATAATGAGCAGTTTATGGTTAACGAGACCCAAATCGAGAATGTCGCAAGATTCAACTACCTTGGTAGTATAATTACTACAAATGGGGTGGCTGAGGACGACATAGATAACCGAATTAGATTGGGTAGAGCGGCGTTTGGAAGATTGTGGGCGACATGGAGGTCACCACACTTGGCCAGAAGTACCAAAATTAGAATATTCGACTCGTGCATCAAGTCGGTTCTGCTATATAGCAGCGAAACCTGGCATGCAAATCAGAAACTCATTAACAAAGTCCAGGTATTCATCAACAGGTGCCTTAAAATCATATGCAGGATCTTCTGGCTTAGAAAAATTAGCAACGACGACCTGTGGGCACTGGCCGGCGAGGAACCAGTAAGTCTGCAGATAAAGAGAAAAAGGTGGCGAGGGTTGGGCCATACCTTGAGGAGGCCGCCGGAGGCAATTGCACGACAAGCGCTTGAGTGGAGCCCACAAGGGAAGCGGAAAGTGGGAAGGCTTCGGACAACTTGGCGGAGAACGGTGGAGAAATAAGTTAAAGCTAGTGGCAAGACCTGGACACAAATAAAAGTAATGGCAAATTATAGCGTACGGTGGAGAGGTTATGTGGAAGCCCTATGCTCCCAAAGGGGGTGAAAGAAGAAACAAAAAAAAAACATAGCCTCCCTTATTGTATGCAATGTGGTCGATAAAAAGCTTTATCAAGTGTTCAAAAATAAGGTTTTTACCTACCGCATGGAATATAACAAGGGAGGTGATATTATGGCACCAAATTTCGCAAGTACTGATGCTGACCGCATCAGATTTTTTTGTCTTGTATTCTCGCAAAGAATTTGGCTTAAAAATTAATGTTTAGGTGTCTCAGTATGTTTTTGCCATCTTACGAAAAATCGATTAAAGGTATAGTTGTTTGTCATTATTTTAGTCAAAAATCTCAATATTAGTAAAAAACAAAGTTGCCGGTTAGACAGTGTTAAATTTAGGCAAACTAAATGAATTTTGCAGTTATCGTAATCATACTATTTGTCAAATATATTTTTAGAAAATCCAATAATCCATTAAAATCACCATTTTTGATTGTTGTTCAAAAAAATATGTATGAAATTTTATTAATAAAATTTTCAATTTTAATTGAAGTGTTAAAAAAAATTCATCTCATTACTGTTTCGATCCTCCTAAGACTTTACTATAAAAGTTTTGCTATCTATTTGCTTAAATTCAGTAAGTCTAAGAAAATTCCTTCAATTTTTTTTTGTGCGAAATGGTTTTTTCATTTGAATTTTAGAAATCCAGTTTGGAGAATATACTAAAATCTAAAGTAATTTTTATATTAACCAATGGATCCCCTTCAATCAAAATAATAAGTTTGTATACTCCTGGATTCATATGATTTGGGTATGCTGCTTCTCTGCCAGGATCACAGTTTTCGAAATGATAAAAGGTTCCTTTTTTAGCCCATTTTTTCGCATCGAATTCTCCCTCGAATACGGGAAAATTTGAACAATTTTGAAATTCTTTCATAAATACTTGCTTATAAACAGTGTTAAAAAACGTTACAAAATCGTGCTTTGGAAACTTTAGGGGCGAAGGTTTGTATTCATACCCATTATTTGGTCTTCTCAATATATCTAATGAAATCTAAAAGAGAAAGTAGGTAATTTAATTTATACTTCGAATTAAAATTATTGTTAAAATTTAAATTCGATTCTTAAAAAGTGTTAGTACTCAGAATATTTTAATGTAATTAAGAGAAAACTTTAAATTTGTTGTTTTAATTTTTTGATTCATAAGTCGTCTACGAAATTTAAACCACTGGACTTTTGAAAATTTACGAAAAATATCACTAAGCTTGAGAAAGTGTAAAAATCCTTTTTTCCATTTTTGTAAAAATTTACTTTTGCATCAATCTGAAACCGCATGTGTCTGGACAAAGGCTGTAGATATTTTCAAAAACTTTGCAAAAATATTTTACAAAACCATATCAGCTAAAATTTTTTGATTCCTTTCCAGATTGCAGGATCAATATAAACAGATGAGCACTAAGAAATACTATATAAATTAACGAGACCTTTTCAAGCAGATAATGTATTATGCTCCATAGTTATATTTTTTTAAATTCCTTGTCTCTTTTGTAAAGTTTTCGTCACTTCTGATCGCTAATGTTGCTTACTACTTGGACTTATAAACGAGCGTTTTTTTTAGTTTTATAAAATATTTTATTTTGGAAGTAAGTTACCAAATACATTTTATTTCATGGAATTACCATAATTTTTTCATTAGCGTAATCTGCTGCAATGGTCAAATTTCCGCTTACTGCATAAACACCTCTGGAAACACGTGTCATCACAAAATGCATATTAACATTTTCTTCATATTTATTTTCTAACTTTGTTGAAAGAAGTGTATAATCCCAGTCCTGTAAAATAAATTTTGAATATCAGCTAAAAATATAATGTGAAAATTATAGGTATACGAGTATTACAAAAAAGAAAAAAATAATTCAAAATATCGGCGATACTGAAAATGGCAATATATTTAATGTTCAAAATGACAAAATAATTTTCTAAGTTGACCAATTCGGGAAGTTTAATATTTTTTGGGTTAATTAGAAGAGAATATTATTTCCAAGAACCCTAATTTATCAAACTCATGGAGGTAGACACTAGATCTTTAAAATATGAAATGTGTGTTGTTTTAAAACTTCCCATAATTCAAAATACTAAACCTTAAACAAATTTAGTTGCTTCAGAATTAATTATATTGTCGCGAATCATATGACGTTTTCATATGTTACTACATCTTAGTAAATGAAACTTAGAATTATTATAGAGGAAAGGAAGAAGCAGATGCTAGAGAAGCGGGGCCGGTGGCCAGTTCCTGTTTTGTTTGGCTGGAGCACTTTTGCGGGATTGAACGAAAAAAAATTTGAGAGGTGCTAAGACTCGAAGTGGAAGATTAAAGACTGGAGCTATGTAAGGTCCATCCGGGGCTTCAGCAAGCAAATGAGCTTTTGGAAATTAGAACTGCGAGCGTTATAAGGTAATCATGAGAATGCCGAAAAATCATGTGAGAATTCCCACGGGCTTCCTGTTGAGACACAGCAGGCTTTAAAAATACTTAAATCTATTGGGCCTGGGTACTGACGGCTCTTACAAGTACTTAGGGAAAGGAGAGGAGACCTCAGTGCATCTCCTTAATGAGTGTTGAAGGCTGGTCCATAAAAGAAGGAACAAATATTGTCCTGGAAAATTTAATTCATCCAAAATGTAAGTCTTGAGGTGGTACTGTAGGAAAAATAATGGGCGCTGGTGTGGAGCACAACAGATCAGATTCATGGCCTCAATCTGCGGTCTACAATCTACAATAGAAAAATAAACATATTTATATATTTTATATTTTTTAAGAAGAATTCATACCCTCTTCTTCCACAAATCCTTGTTAAGATCGCCAAGAATGACATACAGTTGAAGTACGGTTAAGAAAATTTTTCCAAGCAAAAAATTTTCCATTATAATTCTATTCAATTTTTAATAACTTAATTTTTTGTTGATAGCTTTTTTAAAAATTTAATGAAAATGTGATTTTAGTTTTTTATATAAATCATTACTCTTCAAAAAATTTAAATTTTAAGTATAAGAAAAAATATTCCGGTTCAATATTTTTAAATTAAGTGAAAAGTACAAAGAAAAACACCCCCAAAAAATATGAGTGTTCTTACAGTGCTATGATACTCCAAGACTAAAGTTGTTAAGATACAAGGACAAACGTTTCGTAGTATGTTGTATTATTACTATACTCTCGTTTTATTATTCTAACAACGGTCGGCTTTGAAATGCAAAGAAATTACAATGCAAAGAAATTTATCAAACTTTTATTTTTCTTCACTTTCTAATTAATAAAAGTTTTGATGCTGAAAAAGTTTTTTTTTTTATGCACTTTGTTTTTTGTTAGCTTTTATTTTTCAAAACTCTTAAGCTTGCAAATTTAAACTAAACTACGGACCTTCCCACATGTAACATCACTTCATTAAATTTAAAATAATTTTAATTGCATAAAGTTTAATTTTTTTTGTCATGCAACTCAAATTTATAAAATTCTAGTTTTATTTAATCAAAAAGAAAAGATTCTTTTCATAATATTTTTAAGTTTCTCCCTTTTATACGACATGATTCTATTATACTTTGTTTTGCAAAATAAAAAAAATCTGAATATAAAACACCATATCAGAAATAACATCACGGAGATAACGCTATGTGTAAAAACTATGTTAATTCTGTAAAACTTGTATAAATCAATGGCGCTTATTCTAATTATCGAATCATTAAGTGATTATCGAAAAAGTTTCAAAAACTTTATTATAGACATAAATCATTTTTGTATGATTTAGATTGTGCTTACAATAATAATACTTTTTACGATAATAATTATGACTATCAGTTAGTTATTCGATAATCACAATAAGTCCCAGATAATTCCAAAACTTATATGTATTTAGTTTTAAATTTAAAAAATTGAAAAGGGTTTTTTTAATATTGCCTGTTCATTCTATTCTTACACAACAAAATCAAGTTAATAAATTCAATTATTACTTACAAATACGAACAAATTGTCTTTGGAAATTGAAATTGTCTCGTTCGCAATTGTAAGATTTCAGCCTATGTGAACAGGTAGAGATTAAATCGATTCAAAATTTGAAACAGTTTAGAGAACGTATACCTGTTTCGAACTCAATGCAGTTTATTTGTACATGAGCTGCTAATGAGTACACGCAAATCGTTGTGATATATTTGAGCAAATGAGCAAGATACCAATACTATTTTGAAATAAAGTTGGGTCAAACCAATGGTTTGTATTGTAGCACTTTTCCCTTCAACAAGTGAAAATTCTGCTTTTAAATACAGTCTATGTATACCTATCACACTATTAAAATTATTTTCATTCATATACAAAACTCTTTCTAGGATTGCATATTTTTAGGATGAACGATTTATGCAGTCTTTGAAATAAAGCAAAAATTAATATAAAGAGGGGTTAACATAATGCTCGATTTTAAAGGTTAATTGTATGAGCTAAGAAAAATAATTATATTTTTTAATGTCATGGAATTTACCGTTAGCTTTTTGCGTTTATAGAAATTTGAAAAAACGTGCGATTTCGGAAATATAAGGTGTCAAAAATTCAAATTTTACAAATTTCAAGGGGCGATAACTTGAGAGGGGGTGGAGATGGAAAAAAATTTTCTTGTAACGAAATGAACTATTTGTTAATGTCTAAAAGTCCCTAAAATTTCAAGCTTCTACAGGCTGGGATCTAGAAGAAAAACGACATCAAAAATTTGGAAAAAAAGGACTTTAGATAACGGTAAATTTGAGCGGCCATTTTGTTTTTCTAAAGTTTAACTGTAGTATACCGCGCTAGGGAAAGCAAGCCGCTGCCTTTCAGCGTTTGCAAAATTTCAAAAATGCTTATGGTTTCATTGCAACAAATAGTTAAAAAAGGCCATTTTTAAGGTTTTGGAAGGGTATAACTTCTAGAGGGGGGGAGATAGGTAAAAATTTTGTTCTACGGAAGTAAGTTTATAGTAAAGATCTATGTACATATAAAATTTCAGCTTTCTATCTTCAAGGGTGTAGAAGTTTTGTAAACAAAAAAAGTGTCCACGGACGGACGGACGGACGGACGGACAGAGTGAAACTAATAAGCACTTTTTTCAAAAAATTTTTTGGAAAAGTGCTAAAAATTACGTAAACCTTAACACTTTTTGATCGAGCTTTTGTTGTTTCGCACTTTCCTAAAGAAATTTAAAAAAAAAGTGCTTATTAGTTTCAAAACTTCTAAACCCTTGAAGACAAAAAGCTGGATTCTTATATCTATATAGATCTTTACTAGAAACTTATTTCCGTAGAACCAAATTTTTATCTATCTTCCCACCTCTCAAGGTATCGCCTCTAGAAATTTGTAAAATTTAAATATTTGGCATTTTATATTTTGTCGAACCGCAATCTTTTTCAAACTTCCATAAACGCAGAAAGCTAATGGCAAATGTCATGCCAATAAAAAATATAATTATTTTTGTTAACTCACACAACTTAACCCCACGTTAAATTTATTTTTGCTTTATTTCAAAGACTGCATAAATCGTTCATCCTAAATATATGCAATCCAAGAAATAGTTTCGTATATGAATGAAAATAATTTTATTAGTGTAGTAAGTGTACATAGTAAGTGTACATTGTCCTCAAAAGCAGTATTTTCACGTCTTGTTGCAAGTGCTAAAATAAAAACCATTGGTTTGACCCAACTTTATTTAAAATTAATCCTAAAAACTTCGAAAAGTCTTAAGAAATTCCGCCATTTTTGTTTAGAAACGGGACATGTATTTTAAATATATCTTCGTTAAGTCTTTTATTTTGTGGAGGTTTCAATAAAGAAGTTCAAAATTGACATTTTTCAATATTCTTTCAAAATTCAGTTACTTAAACCATAATGTTTTCCTATATGTTATGGGATCCATATGACATTGTATATATAAATATTTACATTAAAATGCTAGATTAATTTTTTTTATTGCATAATACATCATGATAATCTTAACTTAGAAGTGAAGAATTTTAATTATTTTTTATTTTAATTTTAACATTGTTTACAAGTTCAAAATATTTGTGCAACTATTTGGACATGGTTCAATTATTTGTAATTTTGTATTATTTTGTAATTTTTGAACAACAATAGAATCTAAATGTTAAAATTGTACCAGAGAGTAAACATCACGATCGCTATATGTTTAAAAAATATTATTTGATTATTTGATTCGATATGAAGCTTTGTTTTCTTTGAATTGTAAGCACATTATTCTGATAATAACTAAAACTATTGAAGTTTTATCAAATAAAAGACTTTAATTTTCTTCTAACAAAAATATTTCCTGTCAATATTTTAATATTTTAGGAGAAATTAATTATACATTTAAAATTATTTTTGATGTGCAAGTGAAGTTCAGTTATTTACAAAAGTTATACATTTTAAATAGCTGCGCGTGTATCATTATTGTCGCATTTACAATATATTTATATAATTTAATTAAATTTTTTATAATTGTAACGGGGATTTAAACCGTATACTGGCGAAATTTTTTTTTAGAGCCTAACACAAAATCCACTAGTGAAGTCTTTACAAAATTTTATGAAAAAAATTATGTCTACTCTTGATCAAAAAACAAAAATGTTTTAATAGTTTTCCTAACAACTTTCGTATCTAACATTAATTGCGAATAAAACTTAGATTTTACACATTATTAAATACATATATGGATTTGAAACTTTAAAAGTTCGTGACCACTTTATGAGAAAGATATAGATATTATTTTTGTGAACTCGACGGAAAATTGAGATGAAAGTACAAAATAAACAAAATTCAGATGTAAGTACAAATTAAGCAAGAGAGAAAAAATTAAATTTTGGCCTTTTCAGCGAAGTTACGAGTTCCAGCAAAATAATCTTAAATTTTATGTCTCTAGCGTTGCGCTTTCTTAAAAGAAGATCTTAATAACAGACGACCAGATATAGCTAGATCGGCTTAGAGTTTCATTGCGAATATGCAAAGTAATGTATACTTTATGGAATTGAAATTGGTTTCTTCTTAAGGAATGACCTTCAGTAATAAATATACGCGGAAAGCGCGATATTATGTTGTAAGTAGCAGATAACTATGGCATTACTCTTCTCTATACATATACATTAATGCATATAAACGTGCCCTACAGGTTCCGTAATTCTTATTTAATATGCAAAAATTATCAAATTGCGTTTAATATGTTAATGAATTTTTTAGTTTTGTGTTTCGTATTTTTTAAGTCATATGCCATTTTTCAATTTACAATATTTGCAATGGGCGACACCAAAAACAAAAAATAAATATTTATTACTTCATTTCTGCACTACCCTTTGCTTGCTATTAATTAATTTAATTTCTTTTATTTTTTCCTTGTTTTTTTAATTTTCTTGTTATTCTGACTTTAACCTTTTTGTTTTATGTTTCTTGGCCTCGACTTTTATTTTACGAGTACTTGAAAATTTAAGTACGAATATAATATAATATATGTACATATATGTATACAATATGGAATAAAATGTGTAAGTATATAAAGTCTATTATGTCCTAGATGCATTTACATGTAAAAAAAATTAATTCCAATTTTTGTTAAGCGAAAACACAAATTTTTATTAAACTCCAGAAATGCAGTAAAACCACAAGCAAAAATTGATGTGCGTAATTATTGCTTTCATATTTTTCTTTTACTTAATGCAAAACAATTCAAGGTTGATAAAGATGATGTCCATTTTGGTAATAAACTATTTCGGGTGTGTCATTTTAAATAATTTTTTTCAAATTTATAACATTTTTTTTCTTTTCAGAGTCCGTGCGTTTCATCAACAAAATACATACATCTCGCATATTCTACTAGATGCTCATTCTACTTTACCATTTCGAGCCTTTTTCTTTCTCATTATATTCTAAATCTTAAGGAATATTATTCATAAAAAAGTAAGTATTAAAATTCATTCAATGATAATATGTAAAAGTGTTGCCGCTCAGAAATTATTACGTAAATGTAGCAGAAAAATTTCGTTTTATTGATTAGTAGTAAACAAACGGGTGTTATTTTTCACTACGCTTCAAGATTTCATATTAGTATTTGCTAGATCCATAAGTAAATTTGATCATAATTGTGTAATTTAGTGTATAGAAATAGATGTAAAGGGTGATTCAGTGAAAAATGCAATATTATATATCATTGTTTAGGGCATCAAAAATGGGTAAAATTTTTGTTTGGAATTAGTTGTGAGAACTCAGCGATTTCCGAGATACAGGGATTTGACAGGATTTTCAAGAAATTTTTACTTGCCCAAGCTTTATTGGTTATAACTTCCTTTTTATAAAAGATAGAAGCTTCAAATAAACAGGTTTTAAAATGGCTAGTAAAGGGCTTCGAACTTTGGAAAAACACCAATTTTTTCCATTTTGTATTTTTTTAATTTTTTTCATCCCAACAATTTTGTGTGAAAGTTTTAGAAACTTTAAATTTTTTTGTTAAAAAATTTTGGCCATTTTCTTATGATTTAGTTTAAGTCCTCAAAAGTTGAAAAATCTTTTACGGCACAGGAGCTATAGCATAAAAACCATTTATATGTCAAGATTTTAAGGGCCCTATTAAAATGTAAAAAATTAAAAAATGGTCACTTTTTTTTTATTTTTGTTGATTTTAAGTGCTATAATTATCAACTCTAAGTAATTTTTGATCACAATAATCACTTTGAAAAGCAATTTACATTTTTAAGAACAGATATTTCGGAAAAGAATAAGATTTTAAGATTTTTATTGAAATACATAATATTGTGCTCTTTATTGAATCACTCTGTATATATTTATTATAAATACAGGGTTATTTCGAAACTAATGAAATAATGTACATCTTTAGTTGCAGAATAAGGAATTGGTAAACTTTTGTTCAGAAATGGGTGCCAAATCTAAACTGTTTCGTAGGCGCCGGAATTTTGAAGAAATTTCAGAAAATTATAGCATGCTTAAGTATTTTTTTTGCTTATAACTTCCGTTCCAAAAAAGGTAGGTGCTTCAAGTTCACAGTTTGTTGAAAGAGTTTATTATTTGGAAATACTCGAAATTATTTCCATTTTTTATTGTTTTTTTGTTTTTTGATGAAATTTTTAAAAAATACACCTGCACTTGTACGTACACATAAAAGTATTTTATATGGAACTAGTAAACAAATTCAGCAACAACAAGTTTTTAATAGTAAAACGTAAAATCTACATTCTGTGTTTTAATAGACAAGAATTTTTTTAACTATATGTACATACATACATTGAAACATAATACAATATTCATGTTGTATGTAAACTCCACCACGTATTTAAAACTAAAAATGTTTATTATTTGCTTTTATTTTTTATTTTTCTTATTACTACGCTACTTAAAACTTTAATGAATATACTCTGGGAAAATGGAATTTTAAAGAAGGAGTTACCATTTTTATTCTGTTTATTATTACATGTTTTCTTTTACATACAATTATTATTGTTGGCAGACAGATGTGAAGGTTACAAAGATAAGGGAGTAAAGATGTTGATTTAATTTCGATCTTCTTTATATTTAATTATTTTTCTTATATAGAATTTTCAATTGAAAACAGAGAAATAAAATAAATTTTCTATATTAATAACAAAATACGATAATATGGTAAGTCTGTCTACCTAATAATAATAGCAACGTTTCGATTAAAAAACGGAATCGAATGAACCAAGTGATGACCTTATTTTATAATTTAGGAATAGCTGTTTACAATTTAGTAATTAAATTTAGAATGAAATTATAATATTCACCGGTTACTAATCTTTTTTATTATCTAAAATGTCCAAGTACCTGTTGCACGTATTTGCAATTTTCTCTTCACTTGAGTTTCACCTGGGGAGCTCTTGTATCCCGAATTGTGATATTATAAAAATGAAGAAAAAGAATGGTATGAAAAAGGTGAATCTTATGCCTGTTTTGTCTCGATTTCAATGATAATCTAAATATTCTAGAATTTTAACAACTAAGATTACGATTAAATTTTGTTAATACGCATCCTTACGAATCGCTTTTGTAATAATAATTGTGTACACTTTTTATCGCATTTTCTTAATTTTGTTTCATAGTAAATTTTTCTCTAAATAAATTTGATAAATACGCGCAAATGTTTATTAATATAAAACAGGTTTTTATTATACAATATAATATTTTAATCGTAAATTTAATTGATTTTCATCATGGTGTTTAACGTAAATTTATTTACCTTTTTCAATATCAAATTGGCTTCTGTTATACGTTTCATATGAAAGATAATATAAAATAAATTACAAATCAAGCCAAAGATTTTTAAAGTAGCACATTTTATTTCGCTTTCATAAGAATAATAAGGAATTAAAAATGAAGGAATTAAAAAAAAAATAAAAATGTTCCATTTACATATATTTGCATACATTTAGGGGTATAATAGAAAACAATTTGAAGAAGTATCGGCAATTATAATTATATTAAAAGCTTTAATCTGTTTTTGCATAATTTTTCCATGTATTTGAATTAATTACAATAATTTTACAGAAATTTAATTATTGCTAATTTTGAGAGCTCAGGAGAGAGAGGATGAAGTTGAAAAAAATTTTGTTTTAGGAAAATTAGCTATTTATTAATGACTAGTTATCACCAGCGTTACGTCCTAAATCCTCAGCGTCCTAAAATCGTGTAATTTAAAAAATGTTTCGAATATCAGAAAAATAATAACTAAAAATTGAACTTTTACAATTTAGGGAGGATATAACTGTTAGAGATATTAGTAAATATAATATATTAAGGGATGTAATGAAGGAGAAGGTATTATACAACTAAAAAAGTGTCTTGCCTTTAAAATTATAACTTAACAATTCTTTAATTGTTAAACAAGGCAAGTTTTGTAAGAGCTTTTGTGTAACGGACGGACGAGGTAATTTAAAATTGTAAGCACTTTTCTTTTAATATATAGAAAATGTACTAAAAAGTTGCCTAGAAGATGAAAATTTCTGTTTTCTTTAGAAATAAATTCAAAAAATATTCATTTTAATTCAAAATTAATATTCATATGTACATATAACAATGCGTATAAATATATAACTAAATTTGCTTGTACTAGACATATAATAGCTGGGGTTTGTGAACTACAAGTACTTAAAATCTAAGAAGGTTGATTCTTTTCTACAAAGCAAATAATATTTTATATGATAAAATTGATGATGAGAATTTTAGGGAATTTCTGAAATTTTTAAAATGACCATGAAAAGTCCTTCGACTTTGATTTAGGGCGTAATTTATGCAATAATTTCTGTTCCTTTCATTTTTTCATTTTTCTTGGTTTTTTACATATTTTATGTGTACATAAACATTTGGTAGGGATTTAAAATTGTCTTCTATAAAGATTTCGTGGTTAGTTTCTTTTTCTCTTTTTATTTATCGTTTTCTTTATTTTTAATTTGTGTTCAACATCTAGTCTTCTTCTTCTTTTCTTCATCTCCTTAAATGTTAATTGATTAAAATTTTTATTTATTAAAGACCCAATAATAATCGTAAGTAATTTATTTATTTGTTTTTGTTGATTATATAATTTTCTTCTTCTTAGTTATATTTGATTTAATGTTTACTCATAGATGATGTTGTTCTTCTGTTATTACTGTACGAATAAATTACTTAAAATAAAGTGGATTTTTTTTTTTGATTTATAAAATCAATAAATAGTTTTTACTTTTATTTTCAATGAGGATTTTTTCGTAAAAGATAATCCGTTTCATACTTTTTTGCGTATGGTTTAAATCAAATTTTGGGAATTACTGGGTCTTAATTTCTCCGAAAGTCATTCTATTTCGTTAAACCCTCAAACATAGTTTATCATATATCAAATTTAGGAAAATCCAAAAATATTGGTGATTTGCAAATTCTTCAGGTTTAAATCTCATATATATTTCAATAAAGCTTTAAATTTCTTGCTTAAAGTCGTTAAATTCAAAATAAAAATGTTAATAAACTCTTGACTCTTGGAAACAATTTTCACCATTTTTTGAGTGATCATTGAGAATATTTGGCTGGAAATAATTATTTAATAGAATTATTTCGCTTTGTGCTATCCGAATTTCATAAACTTTATCGAACCTTCAAAAATGATTTCATGAATTTCAAGATTATAAGAGAAAGTTTTTATTTTATAATGTGGTTTCTTAACGTTATTATGTTTACAATTTACATTACAATAAGTTTTTAGAGTTAAATTTAATATTTAATACAAATTTTTCGACCATTCCATTAGAAATATTGAAATTTTAGTATTAAGTGGTATGATGAATTTATATGATAATGCAATGATATTTTCTATTAACAGTAAACTATTATTAAAACATTAATTTTCAATTCTTATTCTCTAACCTATTCTTAAAATTAATACTAATCAAGTATACAGACAATTTTACTAAATTGAATAAAATTTTTAAGGCGGATACATTAGATGGCACAAATATTTTTTCATTGTTTTTGTTTTTGTCTAAATTTTTGAGATAAAACAAAAATATTTTTCATTGAATGACAGAATAGCTGTGTGCTTTATATTATGAACTTTATAAAAAAAAAAAATTAAAAATTTAATAAAACAATTATTTCACTTATGTTATGTTATTATATTGGGTGTTGTTACTATCTTTTATCCGGAAATAACATGAAAGTACCTATAGATAGTATTATTTTTTTTATATTATTGCGCCTTCATTCCCAGCATGGTAATACACGATGATATTAAATTTCATATATTACATTATTTTCTTTAAAAAAAAAATAAAAATCTATAGGTTTAATTTCAGCCAACACCAACCATAAAGTCCATTTCAAATCGATTTTTACCTTAGAACAATGATATTTTTGTGTATATGACAAAACATTTACACCTTTTAATACCCTTTAATATGAAAAGAAAAAAACATTAATAAAATAATTCAATGAAAAATTTTTCAGAAGAAAAAAGAAATATTAATGGTATTAAATCATCATGAATTTTCTTTAATTTCATATTCATCACCATCACCATCATCATCACCATCATTATCATCATCATAAATAATAAAATCATTTTTTTTCATACAAAATTTTTGTATCTACTCTCGTTGTACTTTTCATCATCATCATCATAAAAATCATCAGCATCAGCATAATCATCATCAATGTATCATCATATTGAACATCCATTCTTAAAATCTAAATCAACACCTCTTGTAGTACAATAGTTAAAAGTCATGACCTTGCAACTATTTTATTGTTGTTATTATTGTTATTATTTTTCATTTCTATTTTGTAAAATTGTAAGCGCTATTTTTTTTTCGCTCTTTCTTCTCCATTTGTTTTTTTTAATTTTTTTTTATTATTATTGTTATTATTATTATTATTCAATCATATAATTGTAATTATTTTTATTGTTAATATTTTTTTATGTTTCTTTGTTTTTCCCTGTTATAATTGTTATGTTTTTGCTTTTGTAATTCTTATGTATTGTAAAAAATCATGATTTTCATTTTATTTGCGGCTCATCTTGTATTTATTTTGTTTTAGAAATTATTATAATATTTTAAATATCACCATACATCTATATAACATATTATATAAGGTACAAATACAAATTAAAAAAAATATTTTTTAAGGTGTGAAAATTTATTCATAAGTAAAATTAGAGAAAATTTTTTCTATAATAAAACGAGAATATTATTGAAAATACCCACTAAAATGCATTATTATTAAATTTACACTAAAATATCTAAACATAATATAGATAAAGAATCCTTTTCGTTGTAATTGTTACAATTTTTTATTTAGAGTACATACGAGTTGTAATATTATGCTAATATACAAAAATATGCTAACATTTTTTAATATTAAAAAATTATTCTGTGCTTCAAGTATACATTATAAGTATGGGAAATAAATCTACACAAGTTAAAAAATTAAAAACAGAAAAACATACCGACATTTATAATTACAAATACATATGTATATGTATGTAAAATAAAAATAATAAAAATAATAATAAATCGTGCCGAAGGCGGCACCTAATGTAATAATATTTTAAATAAAAATATGAACATACATGAGCATGAGCTTGTATATTTGTATAATTATACCTAAATATTTATAATATTTTATTTAAAAGAGTGTTGTCACTTTACTTTGATTGAAATTGCAGTATGAAATTTATTGCAGTCTTCTTTGCACGGTACTGGTTGTCCGGGTTCCTAATTTGACAACATTTCCTGATGTTCGGGAAAATCCCTTGGGGATATCTTTAGTTTTATACTTGGGACGGGGATATTATAGATGATAGCGTAGGGATGCTACAATAACTCAGGTGGTGCAGTTCCCAGGGATATGTCCTCTTGTCCCATTCGGTTTCCTTGTAATTTACCAGTCTACCAATCTTGAACTTTTTTTTTATTGATTGGTCGTTAATACCCAAATGGGATACTCGGCATTTAAACATTTCTAATTAATCAATAATTACAGGGAACACAAGTAAAATTATACAACATTCATAATTGTATTTAGAATAGTACAGTTTAAATTATTACTTTTTTATTTGACCCTGTCTGACCGAATTGGATTCCAACCGCCGGATGTTATTCTAAAAAAAAATTTGATTGTATAGTAAGTTCTTTCTTCTTAATAATTCTACTTCTATCCATTAGTTTTCTATGTTTGATTGCTAATACATTCTAAGAAATTCTAATACTACTCAAATTAACGGAAGCCGCAGCAACGAAATTCGCCCTTCTGATGTATTTTAATATTTGATGAAAGTAGAATTATTTTCAATTTTAATTTCCAATTTAAGTTCTAATTATTCTTAAAATTTTTTCTCATTCAATTTTCTAATTCCGAAATATATAAAATTCATAAGCTGACAACACTATTTTTTAGCACTTTTCCAAAAATTTTTTTGAAAAAAGTGCTTATTAGTTTCACTCTGTCCGTCCGTCCGTCCGTCCGTCCGTCCATCCGTCTGTCCATGTGTCTGTTTACAAAACTTCTACACCTTTGAAGATAGAAAGCTGAAATTTAATACGTACATAGATCTTCACTAGAAACTTATTTCCGTAGAACAAAATTTTTACCTATCTCCCCCCCTCTAGAAGTTATACCCCCCCAAAACCCTAGAAATGGCCTTTTTTAAATATTTGTTGCAATGAAACCATAAGCATTTTTGAAATTTTGCAAACGCAGAAAGGTAGTGGCTTGCTTCCCCTTGCGCGGTATGCTATAGTTAAACTTTAGAAA